GCACGTGCTGGGGGCAACCAGTGATGTTTCTCTCTTTCTGTCTCTCCCCCTCCCTTTCACTCTCTTTAAAGCAGTGTGTGTGGGGGGCGGGGGGGTGGGAATAACCTGGGGTGAGGATTAATAAACAAACCAAAAAAAAAAATGTACAGTAGGAACTGGACTACAAGCCACTGCCACCTAGGAATTTGGGAAAATCTGGAGGAAGGCATTGGACTTCCCATAGAATGAGGATTGGTGAGATCAAATCATCTGAATATTTAATTTCAAATGCAAGATGACTTTGGCTACTTTGGAGGTTGTGCCTGGTACCCTGCTGGCTAGTTCTGGCTTAGGAATCACCTCCTCCAGACCAGGATCCTATGTCATTTTCTCCCCTCCAAATAGGCTTCGTGCCCCTCTTGGGTACTCTCTCATCACCTTTAACATGGCCTTTCTCCTATATTATAATTATCTGTTTATGTTGTTGCCTCCCCTATTAGAATGAACAAATTAGGGCAGGGTAGAGTCTGACCTGATCAGCATTCGTGCAGCTGGGAGGACGCAGCTTGAGCTAATCATGTTTGTAAAGGGGCACCATGGGCCTTTGGAGAAAGTAGGCAGAAATGCAAAATCTAGGTTCAGAGTCAGGGTAGGAACGGAACAAGCAAAACAAACAAAAACAAGAGTCTTTTATCAGAGGTTCAGTTGTAACATTTTGGCATATTTGTGGAGCCCCCCCCCCCCCCCACATAGCCACATTTATCTCCAAACATCTCAAATAAGGTGCTTTGGGATCTTTGGTTTGCTCTTGGTTACCTACCACCACTATTTTCTGAAATTTTCAGGGAAAAAAATGTTTTTTAATTTCAACAACCACAACAGCAGAAAAAAAAATCTAATAATCTTTTTCTGAAAAGCTGTGTTTATTCTTCATTGTCCTAGAAAGGATGGACATGTGCTTCACTCACACAGCCTTAGCTACTTCATTCACAAGAAGAGAAAGGAAAACTTCTAGTGCTTGTAACACAAAGCCAAGTGTCTTTGTGTTAATAATAGGGTTTGTGAGGGTATTTTTTTCCCTGTCTTTATTCTGTTGCCATCAAAGGAGGAACCAATTAGACCAAATAATAATATTTAAAATCTGACAGCCCTCGGGAGCCTGAAAGGAAAACCTAAATCTGCCATGTGGACACTTTAGAGCCTGTGTTCTACCCATGACCAGGGACTCACCCCTGCCCGAAGCCGCACACACTTCCTGTGCCTGGTCTTAGCGGAACTAATTGGAAAGAGAGCTCGAATTCTCTGCATACGAATGTCACTCCTTATATTTGTTGATGCAAGTTAGAGTCCCTCTTCATGTCCTGTGAAAACAAAAACAGATCTCCTAGAACACAGTGAAGTGTGTAGAATACTCAACCTGTCCTTGTAACTGCCTACACAAAGCAAAAAAAGGTCTGAGAGGGGTCGTAACATGAAGTGTTTGCGCAAAGACCTAGGCCTTCTGAGACTGCGTGGACAAAAGAATTAAACAGCAAAAGCAATTTGAAGTATTTGTGTATTTTGTTGTTGTGACTTCTCCCCATATTCTCTTCTTTTTAACGTAACATTAACTATGTCTTTGGTAAAGGTTTAAAAATTGTTAAGTCTTTTATAAAGGAAGACAAATATCTAGTTTTCAGTGTGAGCCAGATACTATGCATTGCTTTTATTGAACTAGCCAGAGAGTGCCGTGTTTTTCTTTGTGTCGCAGGCAGCTCTGTGCACATGTATGTGCCTCGGGACTAAGGGGCACATGACTGTTCCCTGCACTGCCATCATGTGTGTTTGTGCCCTAGCACAGCCATGCACGGAAGTTTGTGTGTGCCTAAACGTGGCTGTGTGCAAAAGGAAAAAGACTCCTGTTCCATTATTCCAAGCAATTAAACTCCGACAGCACAGGGATGAAGGGGAGGCCCTGATTTTCTTTTCCTTTGCAGTAATTGCCACAGCAATCATCTTTGATCAGGGAAGAGCAGAGGAGGAGAGTCCTGGAAGTTGACATCCGTGGTATAAATATATACATTTACATACACGGGGGCAGCGCAACTCCACTGCTTTTTACTGACGTTTCTGACCTGAAACCATTGTAGCTCCACTGACACTTCATTTAATTGAATTCTTCCCCAGCGGTGCAGGAGCCGAAGGACTTGAAAGGGGGAGGGGAGTGGAAGGATGGGTAATCAAGGCTGACTCTTCTGCCTGAATGTCTAGAAATGATAGGAAAGTAATTGCTTTTGAAAAGAAAAAAAAACAACAACTGAAATAGCACAATTTGTTCTATTTAGCAAGATGCTAAAAAGGGATAAATAGATGAGGGACTTGCCCCAAGTATACCAAAATCCCTACCCTGAGAATAAAACTAATTTGGATTTCTCTGCAAATAAGAATGAAATGGTATTTTTAAATGAAGAAGAAAGAAAATACAATCCTAAAAAAAAAAAAAAAAAATCCCGAGATTCCCTGGTTCAAAATGGCCAGAGACAATAGGAAGATCATTCTGAGCCCAGAGCCATTGCACGGCCCCTTTTGTCAGCTTCAAATCAGCGAGCTGGAGGGTCGAATCCATTTAACCTGCCCCCGTGGCACATCACCCACCCGCCTGACCCCAGAGCGGCCTCATTTTTATGGATGCAGAAGCTCACAGTGTAATTCATTCCCCGGCACACCCCACTCATTCAGTCGGCTGCTTTTGCCACAGAGGTGCACTGCATATTCTCTGCTAGCTGAACTGGTGAGATATCAGTCAGCTTCCTGCTTAATGCAGGAGTTAGCCCGCCTTACAGCTGCTAGGAGTAATGTCCCTTACCGGGCATCTATCTGGGGGCCTACATCAGCCATGCAAATTAGCACATGTGCACAAACTCAGGGTCTTCAAGAAATCAATCTGGACCTGGAGGAATCAGGCAGCAGATTTAGGAAAAGTAAAATCTAAAAGATATTAAATAACCTTCACCTTCTTTGTCATCAGCTCTCCATATTTGCCCTTTTTGGTCATATGTCAATGAGAATGTGAAAGCATGTGCACAGGAGGCACTCAGTAT